CTTGTTCATAAGGGTAGAAGAAAGACTGAACATGTTAAATTGAAAAATGGAAGATTAAAAAGAGATACAAATTGAACTTCTAAAAGTGAGAGCTACAGTATCAGAGATTCAACATTACACTGCCTGAGGTAGATTAGATGTTGCAGTAGAAAGGATTAGTCAGCTTGGTGTATTGCAATGTAAACTATTCAAAATGAAACACAGAAAGAAAAATGACTGAAGAAAAGATAGGACATCTTTCAGTAATAGGACAACTTCAAACGGCCTCCATGTGTATAACTGGAGGCACTGAAGGGAAAAAGTTAGGGGGTGTGACTACAAAAAGTCTTTTATTTCTTAGTGTAAGGATGAGGATTAAGGATATTGATAAAAGGAAAAGTAGTAAACACTCATATGTGCTTAATACGTATCAGCACCATTCGCAGCACTTCATATTTATTAAATTATTTCACTGCCAATACTCTATGAGACAAGTATTCTCATTATCACCCCGTTTCACAGATGGGGAAGCTAGGCACAGGGGGATGAGCCCCGTGTCTGAGGTCAGAACTAGACATTACCGACCTAGCAGCAAAGCGAGGTCCCCGACCCCAGAGTCCAACATCTTCATCACAGTCCTGTGGCCTCTGTGATTCCAAAGCTAAGACTTGGCATCTCATTAAGGTGACAGAAAGTTCTCTGTCCTATTTCAAAAGTAAGTGACTGATATTGTGACTTGGTGGTGCAGCCCTGTCCTATAGAAATAAAATTGAGCACATATTGAATTTAACAGTTTCCAATAGGCGTGTTTTAAAAATGTGGAGAAATAAGTTGAATTCGTTTTCAAAATGGATTTTGTTTAACTCACTTAGTTGAAAATATGGTTTCAATATAAATTAAAGAAAAACTATTGATATATTTTACATTATTTTTATAGTAAGTCTTTGAGAACTAGCAGGTATCTGACTGTCCCCACCTCTGTGCACAGACGACCCCTTGTTTTAATGGGAAACACAGATGCCAACACCGTGAAGATCTGAGCACTCCTCAGAACACACTAAGGGAGGACGGACCACCTGAATATAGAAGACAGGGATGTAATGGGAGGGACACAGAGGGACTGGGACAGGGGGGAGGAGGATATGAGGCAGGGTAAGGGGCAGGGCAGGGAAGGAGCTCAAAGCTCAGTCTGAGGTCAGTCTCCTGGACTGGAATCTTGACCCATCATCACTGTCTGGGGGACTTTGGGAAAATCGTTATCTTCACAATGAGGGCTCCCTCCTCATGAGGCTGGAGGAGAAGCTGTGCCTTCAGCACAGGGCTGCTGTTGGGTTATTGTGATGTCAGGTGAGGGGGTGCAGGTAAAACACTCACCAAGGGTGTGGCTTCTATTCAGAGCTGAACACTAGTCATTCTGTGAACTATGATACCTACACATGTAGGATGACATTCACTCTGGGAGCACCAGCGGCACTGTGGGTCCTGGTTTGGGGGCCTACTAGGTCTGATTCCCCGGGGTTGGCTCAGTGCAAAGGGCATGACTGATGCTCCTTTAAAGATACTTCTGGGTAGACACAACTCTCCACTCTGAAACCCACACCTGGCCCTTCTTCTGACCCCAGGAAATTACCAGCACGAGGCCCTTACTCTCAGGACTCAGACAAGAGCTGAGACAGACACACTGGGCAATGGAGAGCAGATTTGCACTCATGCTCCTCCCTTCTTGAGCTGCAAGAAGAGAGGATAAGACAGGAGCTTGGAGAGGCCAGTCTGAGCTGGGCAGCCTGAGGGCAGAGCTCCGGGAAGACGGACCCCACCACGGACTGGGATTCCTTCTACCTCCTGCCCTGGTTTTCTCCACAGGTTAGAGTGTCCCAGGGCACCTAGGGGCCCTCTCCCAATGTTTCCCTCCAAGTCCTGAGGGGCATCCGTCCAGTTGTGGTGCAGTCAGCATCACTCTTGCATTTTGCATTTCCAGGTCTCTGTGCTCTGCCTGTGCTGACACAGGCCCCATCTGCATCTGCATCTGCCTCCCTGGGAGCCTCCGCCAAGCTCACCTGCACCCTGAGCAGTGAGCACAGACGCTACACCATTTCAGGGTTTCAGCAGCACCCAGGGAAGGCCCCTCACTACATAACGTACGTTAGGAATGATGGAAGCCACAGCAAGGGGGACGGGACCCCTGATCGCTTCTCTGCCCCCAGCTCTGGGGCTGACCACTACTTGACCATCTCCAACCTCCAATCTGAGGATGAGGCTGAGTATTACCGTCGTGAGGGCCTCACAACTGATGGCCAAGGCGGGTAAGCCACAGTGGCATAGACAATGGAGATAGGAGGCCAACACCTGCCTCCTTCTGTCTCCTCATTTAATGGTGTCTGGACGATCTGCTCGCTGTCCCTTTCCAGGACCCGGAGACCTTGACTGTTTTCCTTGCAAATCCCATGCTCCTCTTGCCAGTGACACCGCTAGCAAGAGGCGATGTGGGTCAGAATTTAGGTAATTTTCATGACACAACATTCTGTTTCCTCAACCACAGGCTTGTGGGGACCATGCTGGGAGAGACCACACCAGCCCAGAATGAAAAACACCCTGGCAGAGTGGCTGGGCTGAGATGCCTGTGTCCCCAAGAGCCATTGGACCCTGAGCTCCCATTTTGGGCGCTGCTCAAGGAAGGAATACAGATCTTGGAGATCAGAGGTGACAATGGAAGGCACAGCAGCGAAAGTCTTACCTCTGGGTGCAACACAGTTTATGACAGGGGTTGAAGTTTCAGCAGAAGGCACTTGGCCCTCTGGGGAGGCAGGGCAGAGAGTTTTAAATGGGTGCAGAGCTGGGTCCAGGAGGAAAGTGGGTGCATGTTAGGAGGACTAAACGTGGGAGAACCAACATGGAGCCCAGCCTGGGCTTCTCCAGCTGTGTAGATTCTCACTTGTGGTGCCAAGAATGGCTCCACACCTGCCCCGAGAAGTTTTCTAGGAATAGGTCAGGACTCCTGTCCACTAGGACAGCTGTAGGGCAGGGGGATGGAGATGCTCAGGTGGAAAATATGTTGACTTCCACCTCCACCACCACCCTGGAGTCTCACTCAGCCTGTGTCACTTTTGATTATATTAAATTCCAGAAAACATATCACCATTTAATGCAAAAACAAAGTAACAATGCATGGTGTGGTTTATAAAGCATGTCAAAGCAAATATCTGACAATGTTACTTCAAAGGTTTGAGAGGAAGAAGAACGCATTGTAATAAACTGAGGTGTCCATGACTCAAAACTCACTCAGGTCCAATGTGATCATTTTTCATGAGTTAATAATTTAGAGCAGAAGTGATGTACTGTCAGAATTCTCTGGGTTGTACATTTCTGGTGAATGTGAATCACAGAGAAGTTCCTGTGTGAATTCCTGAGCAAACGGAATGGGAAGCAAAATCCCATGTGGAGTGACAGTCCTTGTGGCTCAACTGCTGGCTCAGCTGGTTGACACGGGGCAGTGGCCACACTGCAATGGCTCCACTGTTGGGAGCCGGCTGCACCTCAGTATCTGACATGGCCAAGCGCACTGCAATTGTGACAAATTCTGAAGCTCTGATTGAGAAACAGATACTGCTTTACATCTTAGAAAATTTAATTTCCCCTTCTGATAGATATATCACAATAATTCTATTTTATACACTAAAGACGATTTTAGTCACACTACTAGTCTTTTAGTAAAGGTCAAAGTACACACCCTGTAAATCCTAAGACCCTGCTTAGACAATAGTGTTTAGAATAAGTGTTGGGTGGTCATGGTAACCATCCTTTGGGAGATTATGTAGAGTCTCAGGCCTTGGTCACATAGTCATTGTAGGTGGAGGGATTTGGACACAGTTAAGATAAGTTAGTTTTTAGCATAGAAAAGGTCTAGCTGTACCCTGGAGCATAAGAATTATGAAGAAGTAAAACCCTGATACTAATGGAACAATGGTCAAACTGTCCGGTATAAAAAGAGACATGCTGTAAAATAAAGTGTGACACTTCTTGAAAAAGCGCTCCTGTGTCTCCGCGCGGTTTTCCTCACCGACGCCGTCTCCACCTGAGGGAACCTCTGGACCTGCGGGAGCTGGTCTCCCACACTCCACCTTCCTTGGACCCTCTTGCAGCTCCTCTGATTCCTGGGCCAGGTGTGTGTATTCAGCATGACATCACATCCCTGTAACACATCCCTTAATATTATAGATTTACATCACATTGGAACTGAACTGGTTTTCTGTCATAAACACCTTAGTTTCTCACTGTCTTTCATCCTCAGACAAACCAGGCTCCTCCCCACAGGGCACTGACTCTGCTCCCCCCAAACACACTTCCTATTACTGGCTCCATCTTGCCATCCTGACAGCAGCTCCACTATCACCTGTCCCATGAGGCCTCCTGTAGCCTCTCTCCACACAGTAGCTGTCTGTTATTTTTGCTGATTTCAATTATCTGCATATCACCCAAAATGCAAGATTCTCTCTCTATCATTGCTCTTATGATTGATTGGTTGATTAATTTGTGTTTCACTAATTGCTCAGGAATTTTTTTTTTAATGCAAAAGACACTTGACAATCAGAGGCATGAACAGACAGGAGCCTATGTTTTTTTTATGCAACAATAAGTCTGGAGACAGATGGTTGTTCTTCAGATAAGCAATCATTTCATGAGTTCCTACATCTTTTCTACTTTTTGTTCTACCATCCTTACTACAGATTGCTTTCATTCTTGTTGACAAGACCTCAGGATGGCGCTGGAGCTCCAGCTGTCACACCCATTTTGAAGAGGAAAACAGCTGCACAAATCAAGTCTGTTTCTTTCCTTCACAAGGCAAACGTTCATGGGAAAGAAACCCAGCGATTGACACATCCATGGACCAACTCCCGCCTTAATGTCAACCCTGGCCAAGAGGGACCTGAGCATAACAATCATCCAGCTTTGAAATGAATGTGGAAGGTGCTGGAGACAGTCTGCTGTGTCACCAAAATAAGCGTGTCCACTCTACTGCCCCACCCACATGATGGAAGCTCTGATACAGGGGCTGTGTGTCCTGTTCACACTGATTTCCCAGGATGGAAGTGGGTCTAAATCCATGTTTGTTGGGTGAGTGTTCTCCTGTCTCCGTTTTTAGAGTGGTATTGACCACCGCCCTCTTCTGACTCAGCATCAGCAGCGGGCACCGGTAAAAAGAAGTCTCGAGTTCTCTGTCCCCTGGTGCCAAGTCTCCAAACCCCACGCATGACTACTCACCACCCCAGAGATCTGTGCAGTGATGCCTCAGGTGGGAAACCTCAGACTGGTCATCTCTTCCTCTAAACAAGCCTGTTCATGTTTTCATGAGTGCTCTGAGCCCCTTTTGCCTGGTGTGAGACAGGTGGGGTCATGGGGAAAAGAGTGATTCCTTCCCTGGGCCAGCAGTTGGTGGGTCATGGAATCAGGACCTGAGCAGTGGGATCTGAATCCACTCAGGGACAGAGGACGCCCCTGCGTCTCTACAGCTTGTATGGAGTGACCACCAGGGGGTGGCAGAGAGCCATCTGGCAAAGCCACTTGCAGGTGGGAGGGCCTGGGTGCCATCAAGGATTCTAACAAGCACAGAGGTCGGGTGGGGGTGGATGTGAGGGTGGGAGTTAACCACCAGCTCACACCTGAAGGAAAAGTTGTATGTTTCCAACACCATCACCTCTGATACTGATGTGAATTCTGACTCCATGTCTCAGCTCTGGTTCCTGTAGACTTTGCCTAATTCTCTGGCTCAGCACCAGGTACTTCATTCTTCTCCAGCCACGCCACTTGTGCTAAAACCCTGTCACCCTGAAACTCTCAAGTACAGGATCTGCCCCTGGCACTGAGGGCACACTGGGGACACTGAGGCACAGCATTTATGACCTGACCCAGGAGCTCTCAGCAAGGAAGGGATCTTACAGCTAGTCAATGGCTCTTAAACACTCGTGTGTCCTTGGCAAGGTGAGAATTCTATTCAGGTCCTGATGTTCAAAAACTGATTTCAGTAGGACACTGCACCCTCATAAGGCTCAGATGGACACCGCCAGTGTTAAAATTCTATAATGTGTTAAGAATACACAGACAAACTTTACTCTGAGCTCTGCCATGGCCAGACCAGCCCAGGAACGAGGTCAGGACAAAGACTTTAATGAAGTCATCGGCCCCAGAACAAGGGACCAACATGTGGAGGAAATTCCCCTGGCTGAATGTGGGGTCTGCAGGGGCCACCCCTCCCCTCTCTGTGTCCCTTGAGGCTGAGCCCTCCTCTGAAACCATAAAGCTCCTCAGGCAGCACCCCTGACCCTGGCTGATTTGCATACCCAGCAGCTCTCTCCAGCAAGGAGATAAGAGAGGCCTGGGAGGAACCTGCTCAGCCTCAGAATCAGGGTGCCTCCACCATGGCCTGGACCCCTCTCCTGCTCGGCCTCCTCGCTCTCTGCACAGGTGCTGCGCCCAGGCTCACACCCACCCCCAGCCCCAGGGCTCTGGCCAAGCCTGGCCCTGACTCTGAGCTCAGCAGAGTGCTGCTGGAAGGGTGGGATGCTGATAACCCTGCTGCAGGGGGAGGGGCTGGTGGGGATGAACCCCCTAGTCTGCTCGCTGGCTCTCTGTGAGCCCTGAGGGCCTGCACCTGCCAGAAGGATGGTGATTGTTGAGAACGTCCACCATCCAGCCAGGACATGGGCCACTGGGGCCGAGAATTGGGAGGAGGGACCTGAAGCCCAATAATCCCTCGAGCCCAGTCCGGGTCACACAGGCTGAGTGTTTCCTGAGAAGATGTCCTACATACTTAAGCCCACCTCTCTTTTTTCTCTCTTGCAGGCTTTGCGGCCTCCTATGAGGTGACTCAGCCACCCACAATGTCAGTGTCCCTGGGACAGACGGCCAGGATCACCTGTGGAGGAAACAACATTGGAAGCAAAGTTGTTAACTGGTACCAGCAGAAGCCAGGCCAGGCCCCTGTGCTGGTCATCTATGTTGATAGCAACCGGCCCTCTGGGATCCCTGACCGATTCTCTGGCTCCAACTCGGGAAACACAGCCACCCTGACCATCAGTGGGGTCCAGGCCGAGGACGAGGCTGACTATTACTGTCAGGCAATTGACAGCAGTAGTAATGCTCACAGTGACACAGGCAGATGGGGAAGTGAGACAATAACCCCCTTCTCTGTCTATGTCACTCTCTCCTCCAGCTGAAGAGGACTAGTGACAAACCCACGAGCAGGTCTGGCCCAGGTCCCCAGATTCGAGATCCCCAGGCTGCCCCTCCTCCCAGATCTCAGGCAACTCTGC